TAACTTCCTATGCTTGCTTAATAAACTTGAGTATATAGATGGGGTTGAGTCTCCTCAACTAATATATCCTCAACATTTATTCTGATACATGTCACAATTGCTACACTTAGGCTAGTAAAGCCAATTTACTCAGCCGTTTGAGTGTTCGGTGTTGTCTAATCGTAGTATTGCATCTCGTGAGGTAAAATGAAATAGATCATCAAGCCTTAATAACTTTAGGATACAAACTTTCGCTCTGCTCTGATGCGATGACAGTGATTTTGGTTTCATTTGTCTGCTCAAGCACTGATGTACATATCGTAAATATATAAACAAGTCTTTCTATACACGCCGTTAGTTAATTAATCTTATAAATATTATTACAAAAGACTAACTGGTTAGTCTTTTTAATTGTTGTACGCGCGAGATTGATGAGGTCTAAATATGACAGATGAAGTCTAAGAATGTTTTCACCCGAAGTAGGGTCTATCGAGTGTGCCGATCTGAGCATTCCACTAAGGCCACCTGATTTCAGATCAAGGGAGATCACCGTCGTCTTATGGTGAGTTTTATCTGCAATTTATTCCATCGCATAAGTTCTCTTAAAATAAAAGACAGATTCAACCTTCATAGGGAATTTAGGCAAGCCTTCTAATATTAGTAATGGTGTTACTATAAAGGCAAAAAAAATTGCTTCATCGACGATCCCACTATAAAAATGTACCATGAAAGAGGCCTGACATGTCTTGAAAGTCACTTCCGCTTTGTGACCCATTGGAATTCGTGGAACTGTGGCGTTGTTGTGGCGTCGAAACTATAATTAAATACGTAAAACTAGGGGTCATAATGAGACTCAGGCGAGGTCGAAAATGCAGTCCACCTTAAATGATACTACCTTTTGGGGGGTTAAAGGCTAATATAAATGTAATGGCATCGTCAAGCCCACTCACTGTAATGTGGGAAAATTCATTATCCGTCAATCATTGCCTTAGAAGACCTATGGTGACTAAAGTTCTTTAAGAAGTGAGTTGACCTCGTTGTCGCAACTAGGTCTTGTTATCAGAGCGACTTAGTAGAACTCACCTAGTCCGCAGTAGTCTGCAATAGTAGTTATCATGATTTCCAGCATCAGATAGTGGACCTGGTATATTATCAAACGTTTCGCCGGCATCATCAGTGAGTACTGCCATTCTCTGGACCAAGCTATGAACTCGTCAAAGGGACAAGTGAAGTCAATCCCTCGACAAACATTCTGCCGAAAACGATTACACTATCACTCCTCTTTCTGTCTTTGCCTATCTATCTACTCTATACCCTTTTATCCAACTCCCGCCCTACCACAATTTCTCACTTGTTTACATTCCACTCGTCAAAATGTGTGTTTTAATAAACAGACGATTGGAGGAAGATAGAGTTAGCGATAACTTTGCTTACTGCCTAAGCAAACTGGGGGAAAACAAGAATAGAGCAATACCAATAAAAAGGAGACGCCTGGATCAAGGAGAGAAAGAGGAGTGAAAGTGTAACCGTTTTCGGCAGAATGTTTGTCGAGGGATTGACTTCACTTGTCTCTTTGATGAGTTCATAGCTTGGTGCGGAGAATGGCAAAACTGACTGATGATGCCGACTACGATGCAGGCGAAACGTTTGAGAATGTGCCAAGTCCACTGTCTGATGCTGATGGAAGACGAATTCGGACTAGGTGCGTTCTACTTAGTTGCCCTGACAACTAGACTAAGTTGTGACAACGAGGTCAACCCGCTTCTACG